GAGTCGGCGTCCTGGGCGGGCGCGGTATCGCGGCAACGTCGACGACGGTGGACGCGGCGATGATCGTGGCCGTGCTGGTGACGATGCTGACAATGACGACGGCGCGGCCAGTGACGGCGCGGATGTTGACCTCGCCGACAAGGATGACGGCGTCTTCGCGTCGGTGATGATGTTTCTGGAATGAGTTCGACATGCGAGCGCGGCCGACGCAAGAGAGTGGTCTGCATGGTTTTTTTGACGCGGACTGCGTCCCCCCAGCGCGCCGCAAGGGCGCGCGAATGATGTCGGCGTGCGGCGCCAGAGGCTCGTTTGGCAGAATTCACCGGACATGGTGAACAACCCACGATTTTCCTACATCGCTGCGAAACGGCAAGTCTAGAACGAATTCTGGCATGCGCGCTCGACGACGCGCGCGCGTGCACTGCGTCATCTTTTTTGCACAGGGTTCTCGCGACGGCCCGCGCGCAAGGACGCGTGAATGATTTCGACGCGCGCGCGCGAAGCTTGCTTGGTAGCATCGTCTGAATTTGTGGAAACATTTTTTTTACATTTGCATACAGTAAAAAGAAGCTCAAACATTGTTTTCATATGTTTATTGTACATTCTAAACGATGTGTTTTATATGATTTTGGGGCACTCGGATTTGATATCTTTCGACACCAAAATCTGTTCCACTCCAAGGGTTTCGGCATGCGCGCGTGGCGGCGCGCGCGCGCACTTCGTTCCGAGTTTTGCAAAGGGTTTTGTACACATATGGCTTATGATACGCAAGTGTGCGCGCGTAGTGTTGTGTTTGCAGGGGGTGGCGGGGGGGGCGATGCTGGTTGGGCTGGAATGATATGAATTCATGCTTCGGATGGACGATGGGGCAACACATGCACATTGCAATGCGAAAGGGGGTATCTATACTCCCGGGAGGGGGGAGGTAGCGTCTTATCATTTTCTTGTTGGAGAAGTGAGCAAATCTATGTTCAACCTGAAGTTGCCCGCTCCGCTGCTCGCGCAAACATCCCGCCCGCTCGCCCGCTGCTTGACTTGGAGGCCATTTCTTTATTGCTTGGGGCATGACGGGCGTCATGGCCCCCGCTCCCCCCCCCATATGACGTAACGCTCCTCCCCCAGTGCGCTCCGGGCACTGCCGCCGTGCGCATTGGGATCCGCGTAGGTGTCCGCGTAGGAATCCGCATAGGTGTCTGGTCCGCAGGCGTCGTCGTCGTCGTCGTCGTCGTCGTCGTCGTTCGTCGTCGTCGCTCGTGTTTCGTCGCTCGTCGCTCATCGTCGTCGTGCGCGCGGACGCGGCTGGAACCTGCTTTTAAGTCCGGGCCGATGACGGCAATCATCTGGGGGGGGGGTCGATGACGTCACGTTTCGCGCCGGCGGCGTATGGGAATGGTTAGGAATGACGGAGGACGGGTAGCACGAACATGACGGTGGCGATATACAACACAACGCCTGTGTACATCACAGTGCCCGCGTGCACCACAACGCCTGTGTACACCACGCCGCCGATGTGCACCACAGCAGCCGCGTGCAACACAGGGCCAGTTTGTGCCACCGTGCCTGCGGGCACAGCAGCTCCTGTGTACACCACAGCGCCTCCGTACACCACATCAGCCGTGCGCAACACAGCACCAGTGTACACCACAGTGCTTGCGTGCGTTGCACTGCCTGTGTACGCCACCGCGCCTGTGTGCACCACGTCAGCCGTGTGCAACACAGCACCATTGTTGTGTATAGAATTTCAAAAGGAATCTTTGTGACAAAATGGAGCGCGTGTGGATTCCAGAGAAAGCAAGGGAAAACAAATCTTCAATGACAAAGGAGCGCCGCTGGAATCTACGAGTCCCCCCGAGTCCGCCCGCATCACCTTAACTCCCATTTGCGTCCAGGAGGCTCCAGCTGAACTGGCCGTCCGAAAACCAAGTGGCCCGATTCAATCGACCATTTTGCGGTGCACGCTGAGATGCGCACGTGCGTCACGTGCGTTGTAACGCCAAGCCGCACGACAGGGGGTAAGAAGGAGGAAAGGGAGGACGCGGAGGAGGTGGAGGTGAAGGAGGAGGGAGGAGGGAAAAACGTCGTATTCGATTATCAGAACATTCCTGGCGTGGCGTTTGGTTGTCCGCAGCAGATCCTGACGTACATGCTCCTTCTACCTGTCCTATGCACGCAGGCATTGTGGTGTACACCAGCGCTGCGTTGCACGCGTATGCTGTGGTGTAGACAGGCGCTGCGGCGTGCACAGGCGCTGCGGTGCACGCAAGCACCGTGGTGTACACAGGCGTTGTGTTGCACATGGTTGCTGCGGTGTATGTACACTGGCGCTGTAGTGCTCCCAAGTATTGTGGTATACACGGGCGGTGCGTTGCACACGGTTGTAGCGGTGTACGCAGGCGCTGTGGTGCACACGCGCGGCGTGGTGCACGCGAGCGCTGTGGTGCACACGGGCGCAATGGGCAGATCGCCACTTACATGCTGCTCGCGTCGTCGTCGTCGCTCGTCGCTCGTCGCTCGTCGCGTCGTGCGCGCGGGCGCGGCTGTGGTGCCGGAGCCACACGGCGGGGGGGGCGTCACGTCATCCCCCCCCCTCCCTCCCCTCCCCCCCATGACGCCCGTCATCGCCGAACATAAAGAAACGCCTTCTTGCAAAACCCATGCGGCGGCCATTGCGATGAGTGTTCGGCCTTGGCTGGTGCGTCTGTGCGGCCGCGACAGCCCGCGCATGCGCGCGCGGCGGCCAGTTATGTTGGCGCGACCGGCGCAGCTGATGTGGCGCTGGCAGCTGGGCAAATCCCAGCGGGCACTTCCGTGCGAGCCGGCGGCTTGAACGGGCGCAGTATCGTGCGACATCGACGACGGTGGACGCGGTGATGATAGTGGCGATGGTGGTCACGATGCTGGCCGTGACGACGGCGCGGCCAGTGACAGCGCGGATGTTGACCTCGCCGACAAGGATGACGGCGTCTTCGCGCCAATGATGAGTTCTGGAATGAGTTCGACATGCGCGCGCGGCCGACGCGAGATGGTTTTATTATTTGACACGGATCGTGTCCCCCCAGCACGCCTCCTGGGGGTGTGTAGGAGGTAATTGTTAGCCTTCGGGGGCGCTTTTGGGCGCCTTTTGGGGGCCTTTTGATGGCCACTTGGAGCCTCTCGGGGGTTCCGGGGGACTCCCAGGGCCATTTTGGTGCCTCCTGGGCGCCTCTTGAGCCGTCTTGGGGTCATGGAACCCTCTTGCGCGCTTCTTGGGCCCGTCCTGGGGCCCGCTTGGGCTGTCCTGGGGGTCTCCCGGGCCGTCTTGGGCCCTTCTTGGGCCGACTTGGGGCCCTCTTGAGAGCCTTTGGGCCTGTTTTGGCGGTCTCTTGGGCCGTGTTGGACACTGCGAAGGCCGAAGAAGCGAAAATGCAAACAATTCACGTCTTCCTAAGGGAATGGGACATCTTTTCCGTCGCTGGGCACTCTTAGGAGGTGTCGGGAGGGCACGTTGGAGGCTTTTGGAACCGTCTGAGGAACACATTGGGTGTTTTGGAGCGATCTTTCGGCCACTCAGGGCTCTCTTGGGCCCTCTGGGCGGCCGCTGGTTTTTTATGAGCCCGCGTGAGCTCTCTGGGGCGAGGGGCCGACCCAGAGTGAGCCGGAACTCCGATTTTTCCACCAAAATTGACTTGGACCCCCCCCCCTACCCCGGCAGAGCCACCCCGGCACCCACCCCCGCAGCAGAGTTGAAGCTCAAGAGCTGAGGCTCAGGCTATATCTGAGGGTCTTTGAAACTCACACGCCGGGTCGGCGGATTTCGGGATGCGCGCGACGACACGCGCGCGCACTTCTTCGTCTCAGTCTGATGCAAAGGATTCATGCGACGGCACGCGCGCAAGGACGCTCGAACGATTTCGACATGCGCTTGCGAAGCTCATGTTATTGCATGGTATCGAACTGATGAACATCTGATTGTCTTTTTTCAAGAGTTGCAAAAGCGCGCAAGTTTGTTTTGAAAAGCCGTGTTGCGAAACTTTGTTGTCATACGTATATATCTTTACGCATATATGAATATGTGTTGTGGACGCTCGATGTTGAAATTCTTACGACACCTACGGCTTTTGACGAATTTCGGCATGCTCGCGCGACGACGCGCGCGTGTGCACGTCGTCTTTTTTTGTTGTCGTTGTTATGGATGTTTGAAAAGTTATGGAGTTTGATAAAAGAGTGCGCGCATAACTTGTTGCAGAGGATGGCGGGGGGGGGTGGGGGCGGATGCCGGCTTGGCTGGTATGGTACGCATTCATATTTCGGACGGGCGATGGGGCAGAATCGAATGTAAATTGCAATACGGCAACAAGGGGAAACGGGGTCGGGGGGGTAGAGACTATTTCTTTTATAATGGAGAACCGATGTGGTGCGCTATATGTTGTGTGATCTAACTGGTGCGCAGTCTAGGTTGACCAAGCTATGTGCAGCCTTTGTGCAGCCACGCTGTGGAATACATGTTGTGCAATCTATGTGCTTCAATCTTTACTGTGCAGTCTGTGCTGTGCAGTCCTTGTGGCGGCGACGGGGGGCAACACGGCGGCGGACCCGACAAGTGAGCCGACACGACGGGCGGCGAGGAGGCGGTGACGGGGCGGCGACGGCAGCAACAGGGCGGCGGGCCCGACAAACGAACCCAGACGTTGGGTGGCGACGAGGCTGCGACGGCGGCAACAAGGCGGCGGACCCGAGAACAAGTGAGACCCCCTGATCGCAATCACACGTAGGGGAAGTGTGTAGACATACTCATACACGCACAAGTATACACATAAACATTGTATCGGGTTTCTATTCAAGGGCTTCGGCGAACGTAGGACACGGCCAGATTAGCGGTACAGTTTTGGGGGGGCTTTCTCCAGGGGCCTCCGAACTTGGCCCAGAATGCCCGGGACGGCCCGCGCTCCGAGATCCCTAGGGCGGCCTGCGCTCCGAGATCCCCTGACCGCCCCCCCCCCCCACCTTTCGGGCCCTCCGTTATGGCTCAGGCCTTGGCTCAAGGGTGCCATGTAGTTCGTCCACGGACGGCTGGCGCGCGGGTGCCAATGTTCGGACTTTCACCCAGACGCCGCCTGACTGTGGTGTGGGTATCACGTTTGATATTTGGGGCGTATGGTAGCACGGCTGCTGGGGATGCCCCCGCAGATGCGGTATTCGCCCCGACGTCTATGTCAGTTGTCCCGTCTCACCTGAGCAATTTCCAGCTGCAGGCCGAGCTGGGCATAAGCGCCTTTGCCCCGGACTCGACGAGCCAATCGAGGGTGGCCGACTCGTTCGGCAGCCATCTTCCTACCTTTGAGAAGGTGCTGGCATCCTCATACGGATACTCCATGGTCCGTGTGACCGGCATTTCGCTGACGGCCGAGCACATTTGCGCTAGGTTCGAAGAAGCAAAACCGTCATAAACATACACGTTTAGCGCTCCGCGCGCCAGAGGGGGGGCCCAGCGCAGATCCAAGAAATCCGCGTGAGCCTCCAAAAGTTTATGTTTGTGCCGCTTTTTCTTTCTCTATAGGTCCGCCCCTGAAGAGGTCGATGCGAGTTTTGCCATCTCGGTATCGTTTAACCAATCCCCATCCCCATCCCCATTACCTTCGAGACCCCGACCAAATTACCCCTCCAGTTGGGGATACACTCCTCGAAACCCGAAGGGAACGACCTCCATCCCCATCTAGTGGGCTGAACGCCGCTGGGGTCGGGGATCGGTTAAATAATACTCACCATCTCCTTCGTGGCGGAAGGGCAGGGCTCGGTCTTCCGCTCGAGCGGGGAGCTTACGGAGGCGGTCCGGGAGGCGGTGCGCGGCGTGGACGACGGCATCCTGGTGCTCTCCGCCTGCGTCAGTTTCTTGTCCTGGACCCCCGCCACAGAAATATACACTTAAGTCGGGCCTGTCCGTCTACAGGAGGAATATTCAAAACAGTTAGAACATCGTATGTGGACGATTTGTGAGTTTTTTTTGAACACTATTTTCTGAGCAGTTTCGGATATTTTTAATGTTTCGCACAAAATCTGCCTGTACGGGGGCATGCCCGACCTGAATATACACAGACGCCCTCCGATGGACCGTTTCTAGGCTGCAGGGGGGGGTGGCGGTGTACACATCGCCACCACGAGCTGGCGATCTCATACGGCGCCACCCTCCCCTGAAGGCGCAGAAAGGACTCGTCAGCGGACAGTTTCGACGATTGACGCTCGATCCATACCCATGTTGTTGCCCCACACTCAGGGCGTCAGTGGAAGCAGGGTGATAAATGACACGGCCCCAGAGGCGAGGGTTCTGTTCATGCCGACGCCTTGTCCCCTCGTGGGGCCGAAGCGTGAGCAGCGGCATGTATAAAGTGTCGATCGCCTATGCTTGTGTATATATGTTAGTGGTGTAGGACCGACGCGGGCGGTTTGCTGCCGACGGCATCGGGGCCCGACGAGGTCGACAAGCTGCAGGTGCAGGCGGGTTGGGAGCGGTCGGGCTTTGCGGTGGTGTGCCTCCAGCTGTCCGCCTTCACCGTGAGCTGCTTCGTGCTGATCTTTGTCGTCATGCAGTTTTCCAGGATTCAGAGGAGAAACTCGTACCGATACTTCGATGGCCAATCACGGGAGCCTTGTATGTTTTCGGACTTCCGTCTTTGGAGTGCATTGGCGTGCACTGGCGTTTGGTAATCGATTCGGGCGTGCAGTTTAGCGTCGATCGGTGTCCATTTAGCGTCGATTCGCGTCGATCAGCGTCTATCAGCGTCTATGAGCGTCGATTCGCAAGAGCCAGTTAGATGGTACTGGAGGCTCCCATGTGTTGCCGCTAGCGGGGAGGAAGACGCACCGATATACCGCTGCTCGTCCTGGAGGGCCCTCGTTGCCACTGCCGGATTCTCCTCCTCCTCCTCCTCCTCCTCCTCCTCCTCCTCCTCCTCCTCCTCCTCCTCCTCCTCCTCCTCCCCCTAGCTCCTCCCCAAGGGGCCCTCGTGCGGCCATACTGGCCATGCTCGGGACCCTGGCCATGCTGCGCCCCTCCTCGGAACTCTGGCAATAATGCGCCCCCGCCTCCAGGGAGCAGCGGTGTCAGTACCTGCTTGTCTCCCTGGCCAGTGGCTCATATGATTGTTCTTTAGTGGTCCCTGATGAGAGCTAAGAGGCGCTACTAGATACTAACAGTCGCCAACTGGCTCTATCAGGCGGTATCACGCGCTAGTAGGCGCTAGTAGGCGCTAGCATGGGCATGCGTTGGCACTAGTAGGCGCTAGTCGGGCGGAGCCTGCCTTAAATTCATTCCCACACAGATAACAAGGGCGCCCTCGAGGGCGCGAAGTTATTCGCGCTTCGCGCTTCGCGGTTCGGCTCCGATTCCTCCTCATCCTCCTCTTCTCCCTTGGGAGGCGGCGCGAGAGCGCGAAGTTATTCGCACTTCGCGCTTCGCGCAGCGCGAAGCGCGAAGTTGGGAGCCCTTGGACAATGCACGTAACCAAGGATGCAACAGCTCTGCTACGGCACGGTTCGGCCAGAGCTGGTTCCCACGGATGAGCGTGCAGGACATGTTGAGCAGGAGCATGCCGATTGGGATTCATCTGATCTTGAGGCGTCGATCGCTTCATCATGCCAGAAAGGACGTGGGGCAAGCAAGGATTCTCCATGGGTGGTGGAATCCGAAGCCACGAAGACACCCCAGAGCCACGAGTCCGACACGGACGATTCCCCCTTGTCGTGTGGCAGTCCTGAGTCTTTCACTGCGCCGGGACTGCGGTACTTGTAGCATAGCTCGGTCTAGCTGATTCGTGTAGGGTTCCGTATTTACGTAGGGCCTTTGTTTCAGCACGTGTTTCAGTTCCATTCGCTAAGATTTTAAGATTTTGCATCCGCTGCACGGCGTCCTGCCTCAGCCATAGCAACCCAGCGTGGAGTACAGTTTGCACGCTCTTCATGTGTCTTCCAGTCGCGGCTGACAGATCCGCTTGGGTCAGCGACCTTTAGATGGGTGTGCTGAAGTGTTCTTGCTGGGCGTTTGCTCAATATTGTGGGTGCCGTTTCGGAGTCGTGCATTTGCTTTGGACGGACGGGCTCAGTGCTCAGAAGTCGATGCCAGCTGAGGCCCAGCTTGCATGAAAGAGTATCGAATACTCTGACAACTCTCTTATGCATTACCTCCAGTTGCTCTCGCGTTGACGTTGCATCTCCACTCCGTGACCTTACACACACGTATGTATGCATATTGCTAAGTAAGTATGCATGCAAGCATGCACGTATGTATGTATGCATGTATGTATGTAGTTATGCATGTATGTGTATATGCATGCATGTATGCATGTGGGTATGTATGTACGTATGTGTGTCTGTCTGTCTTCCTGTCTGTCTGTCTGTCTGTCTTTATGTATGTGTGTAGGTATGAATGAATGAGTTCGTTTATGTACGTACGTACGTATGTATGTATGTTCGTATGTTTGTGTCTGTATGTGTGTATGTAGGCATGCACGGTCGTATGTATGTATGCCTGTATGTATGTAGGTATGCATGCATGTCAGTTTGTCTGTCTGTCTGTCTGCCTGTGTGTCTGCCTGTCTGTCGGTCTGCCTGTCTGCCGGTCTGTATGCATGTATGCGTGTATGCATGTTTGTGTGTATGTATGTATGCACGTCCATATGTATGCATGCATGCATGTATGCATGCATGTATGTATGCACGTATGTAGTTGTATATATATATGTATATAGATGTGGACGAGTGTATGTATATGTGTGTATGTATGTATGTATGTATGTATGTATGTATGTATGTACGTACGCACGTACGTACGTACGTACGTACGTACGTACGTACGTACGTATGTACGTATGTACGTATGTACGTATGTACGTATGTACGTATGTACGTATGTACGTACGTATGTATGTATGTAGCGATTCGTTTTCCAAACAGCTTTGCACGCCCCACTCGCAAGCCGCCTGCAGATGTGAACGGTCCGTTCCATCGCCGTCCTTGCTCAAGTTCTTCGGGCGGCAGCGCTATCCCAGCTTGTATGGGAGTCCTTGGGCTCCTGAGCAAAGCAGCCCGCGGCGCCATCGCCATACTCGATTCGGTTGGGCCACGGCTGGGACCGCTGGCCGAGGAGGCCTCCGACTGCGCGCTGGCTGTGGGCTCGTTCGGGAGCATCCGATCGCTGGCCGTCCTCTGTCTCATTGCAGGTTTCATCGCTGGCGTGAGCTTGACCCTGTGTTGCTGCCTCGGTGGACATGTCCTATCTACGACCTGGGCGTCGCGTTCGCCTTTTGTGGGAGGTGGGCGGTACTTGGCAGGATCGGATCTTGTTGTGCGAGTGCCAGAGCTCGGAGTGCGAAACAGAGCTGGAGGTGACGCCGAGTCCGATGGAGATCGCTGGACACCGCGTGTGGTACGCCCTCACTCCAGACCTGGACGTGTACCCACACATCCTGTCGGAGGGCCACCTCTCAGGCTTCGTGGCTCTGAAAAACGACGGGTCGCCGATGACGGAGACGGCGTTTGGGCGCCGGTAGAGGGCAGCGAGTGCGGCATACGGCGCCGAGTGGGAGCCGACCGCGCTCGAGGTGTGCGAAGCTCTGGAGGCGGCGAGGCCAGGCTGCTCGACCCTCCAGGGCGGCGAGAAACCCTCCAGGCGCATCAAGGGGAAGGCCTCGTGGAGGTCGACTCCAGCAGCAGCAGCGGCAACTAGCCCAGCGGAGGAGCTCTATCCAGGCATGCTGGTAGGGTCAGGTCCGCTGCCCGCCAACGACGGGCTGAGCTGGTACGTGCTGGCAGGGGAGAACCCGACGGAGCTCAGGCAGGCGGTGCGCCACCACGACTTCGACGGATACCTGGTCGTGGGGAAGGTTGGCATCGCCACGCGGGGCGCCGACGCCATGCTGGTGAAGGCCGTGGACCCCTCGTCGCCTGGCCCGGAGCTGGAGACCGACGCGCGGGTGCTGAACATCAAGACCAGGCCCGACGGCAGTCGGCATCGTCACTTCACCGAGGCCGCCCGCCTGGCGTCGACCACGGAGTGGGCTGAGTGGCCCATCATGGGCCCGAGGACGGCTGCCTGGTGCCTGGAGCTTCTAGCACGCCAGGACCAACATCCTCGGGCCCGACACACGAAGTGGGTCCACGAGCGCAGGCTGGAGGCCACGGGTGAGGGTGTCGGAGACCACGACCTCGCCATGCGCATGGCGGAGCTGGGCCTCAATTTCGATCAGTTGAACCTGGGTGAGCTCGCCTCCTTCGAGCTCTTGATGCGGAAGGCCCAGATGGCCGAATGGCGGCATCGTGATCGCCCTGCGGCCGTCCAGGGTGACGACCTGATGGAGGAGAGCTACTTCTACCTCGGCACGGGTGAGACCCGTGGGCTGGCGATGGTCGCGCCGGCGCTGGTCGACCACGTCAACTCGGAGATGCACCGCGAGGCTCAGATCCTCAAGGGACGCCGCAAGGCGAAGGAGGAGAGGATGCTCTCACGAGGCGGCGGCAGCGGTGCTGCTGGGTCCAAGGCGGAGCTCCAGAAGAAGATCCAGCAGCAGGCCGCCGAGCTCAGGAATATTCAGGAGAAGGGCGCGGGGAAGGACCAGGCGGCCGGCCGCGGGGCCGGCCGGGGCCAATGACGCGGCCACCTGGGATCGCGCCCCGCGAGCTGCTGCCACTTAGCGGCTTCGCGGCGGCGCGAACTGACGGCGGCCCCGCTGGGCTGTCGAGGTCGGTGTGCTCACGAGTACGCCGCCGCATGCACGTGACGAACTGGGTCGCCGACGCGGCCGAGAGCCTGAATGCCCTGTATTGGTCACGGCGGCGCCCGAGAACATTTTTCAGTTTCAGCTGGGCAGCAACGCAGCCCGGAATTCACCTCCCTGCTCACCCGCGGCAGCCCACCAGGAGCTGCGCGGCCACCAGCCGGGCTACGTGACCGAGCCCGAGCAACCAGCCCAGTACCAGAGGGAGATCTTCTCCCTGCCGGGGCCGGGCGCGCGCTGTGATCCCCGCGAAGTCCTGCGCGGCCTCGAGCACGATCAGCGGGCACATTGGGGGAGACATTTGTTGCGCCGAACGCCTGCACCTGACAAGGAGATCAGGCTTCACAACGATCGCAATCTCATGGCGGATAGGCGGCGCTATGCGCAGTTCATCCTGGACCTGTACACCTCCGGCCTCGTCAGAGTCGGGGCCAAGCGCAGCGCCACGGTGGGCGCGTTTTGTGCGGGGAAGAGCGGGCGAGAACGGCTTCGGCTCATCTTCGATACGCGACGAGTCAATGCACGGTTTCATGACCCTGATCACTCTCAGTTACCCAGTGCTGCCGCATGGGCGGCGCTACGTACCAATCCTTCTTCGTCTTTGAGTGTGGATCAGGCCGACGTGGACAACGCCTTCTACAGGGTGAAGTTGCCTGACAAGATGGACGAGCATTTTTCGTTGCCGAGCGTGCACGTGAGTTCGCTCCGACAGCTCGCCGAGGCGACTGGGGTGGGCATCGACCTGCCCGACGCTCGTTTCGGTTCGCCTCTCTTGCAAGCGTTGCCGATGGCGTGGTTGGTCGTGGAGCCTCTACTTTTGCAAGAGGCTGCTGGAGACCACCGTGCTGCGGTCGGGGGTCGACACCGGCCCGCTCATCATGGATCGCCACGCTCCCCTACAGGTCCGCACCTCTTCGACCCAGCCTGGCGTGTGCGTCGACAACGTCTGCGTCGTCGGCGGCGACGGCGACCGCTGCGTGGCCGACTGCACCGAGGTCGTCGGCGAGCGGGAGCGGGTCGGCCTGAAGTGCAAGGGCGCCATGGAGCCTGAGGACCTGCAGACCATCACTGGCATCACCTTCGAGAGGCGCAGCGGGCGCGTTGGCATCAGCCCGGGTCGGATGTGGAAGATCCGACTTGCTCTGCTGTTCGTGGCGGACCGACGCCCGGCCACGGGGGGCGAGTTCTTTAGCTTGCTTGGGCGCTTCACTTGGGCCGCTCTCTTGAGACGGCCACATTTGAGCATTTTTCAACAGGCCTACGTCTTCGCCCGAATCGCTGGGCGCCGCCGCCTGCGGCTGTGGAGCCGCGTGGAGCTCGAGCTGCGGCGGGCGGCCGCCTTGCTGGTCTTCGCTTTCTCCGACTCCAAGAGGCCCAACAGCGCCCTCGCCTACGCCTCGGACGCCTCCAGGGGCCAGTCTGGCTCAGAGGGCGGCTACGGCGTGGTGGGGCAGACCTGGGCCGATGAGCTCGTGGAGCGCACCGCCTCGTCAGCTGAGGCCTGGCGATGCTCCGTGCTGGACGCCATCGGGGCCCGCGAGTGCGCGCTCGGCTACGACCCGGTCGCGGGGGCCAAGGTCGGCCGCCGCCAGGCCCGCGCTGGCTCCACCAGCTTCGAGGGGGTCGCGAGGTCCTCGATCGGTGACTTCAACGATGGGGGTGTCCTCTTCCACGGCGAGTTTCAGCGCGACGAGGACATCGCCGCCCTTGAGGGGCGAGTGGCTGTGATGGCCGGCCGCGCGGCACGCAGTGCGAGGGCGCTGCGGGCATAGTCATCGGCACCTCATCTTGGTCGACAACCTCGGGCTCGCACTCTCGGTTGGAAAAGGGCACTCCCCGTCCACCGCTCTCAATCACGTCCCGCAGCAGCTTTGCGCCATATTCATTGTCACCGACACCGCCGTCATCCTCATATGGATGCCGTCAGAGTGGAACCCCGCCGACAAGCCCTCTAGGCTCAGGCTTCACCATGCGTTGGACGCTCGTGCTGACCCCCGACATGCTGCGCATTGCGGAGGCCCGCCAGCAAGCTCCAGCGGGCTCCAGGCCCTCGGCCGGGATGTTGACGCGCTCGTTCGGAGGCGCCACTGCCGTGGTACCACGGCTTCGGGTGCGGAGCCCGGCGGCCCCAGCGGGCCCGGCGCGGCTGGGCTCGGGGACGCGCTGCACGACGACCCCTACCCGCTCGGTGGCCTCGCGGGGCTCCTCGGCGGGCCGAGCGGTGGCGGCGCGGTCGCCGACGACTCCTCATCTTCGAGCTCGGACAGTGGCATCGACCAGCAGTGCGAGACCACCCCCAGCGAGGGCCGAGGCTCTCCGCCTAGCCAGGGCGAAGGCTCGCCGCTCAGCCCACCGCGGCGCAGACGCGCGAGCCCAGGCCGAGGGGCTCGCGGTGTTGCAGAGCCTGAAGGTCGGCAACGCGTCCCGCGTGTACTTCGAGAAGGAGTACCTGGACTTCCTGACTTGGGCCCTCTCGAGGGCCCTGTCGATCCTCGGGCTGCCGTCCATCGACTCGACCTTCTCCCAGTACCTCGATTTCCTGTTCTGGGAGGGCCACAATCACCACAAGGGGGACAAGGCGTTCGCGGCGCTGAAGCAATTCAACCCGGGCCTGGGCTTGACTGCGGCGGCTGCGCTGGAGAGGGCCGCCGTGGCTGCGGGGCTTCCGCAAGCTGGCGCGGGGGTCGACGCGGGCCCCCATGGCGAGGGAGCTGCTGTCCGCGGCCGTGGGCGTAGCTCTGCACCGAGGCTGGCGGAACTTCGCCATCGCCCTAGCGCTCAGCTGGGACACGATGGTTCGGCTTCCCAGCGAGATCGTGCAGACGACACCCGCGACGCTGGTGGCGCCCGCGCCGCGCTCTGGCCGAGCCGTGTGGAGCCTGCTTCTCTTCCCAGAGGAGTTCAACCAGGTCAAAAAGACTTTGGGCTGCGACGAGGGCGTCGCGCTGTCAGACTCGATGTCCGTGGCCCTCGGCGCGGGCCTGGCCAGGCTGAAGCGAGGCCGCTCGGACGGCCAGCCGCTCTGGGGCTTCGACGCGAGGGTTTTCAACGCCAAGCTCAGGACGGTTTTCGACCAGCTAGGCCGCCAGGACTGCCACCCGTACCAGGTGCGCCACGGCGGAGCCTCGTACCGAGCCGCAGTCCTGGGCGAGAAGCTCGCGGACATCCAGGCCATGTTGAGGCACCAGTCGGACAACTCGACGAAACGGTGCGCCAGGCACGCCAGGTACTTCGCGGAGGTCGGGAAGCTCAGTCCCGAGGTGGCGCAGTTCGGGCGGGACGTCGACGCCCGCCTGGGCGACCTGCTGCGGGGCCGGGCGCCGCTGCCGCCGCTGCCGCGGGCTCGCGCGCCGCGCTCCGCGCAGGGCGCAGCTGGCGCGGCGGCGACGCGGGCGGTGCGGCCGAGGTCCTGACGGACGCGGCGGTGCGCCGCCACTGGCGGGCCGCGTTGCGGGCGGCCCTCTCAGGCTCCCGTAGGCACCAGGTGTACCTGGATCTGTTCAGCGGTACTGGCAAGGTTGCGAGTTGGCTCGAACGGAAGTCCGACTACGCTGTCCTGCGGATCGACGTGGCGGCCCACCCCGCGTTCGACTTGTCGCGGTCCGTGTGCGGGGCCATCGTGATCGGCTGGCTGAGATCCCGCGTGGTGCGAGGACTGATGTGACTGATGTGCGCTCCTCCCTGCTCGACTAGGTCTCAGGCCTCTCGCCACTTCTATCGCTCACCTGGTGCTCTGAACGGCCACCCTGGCCTGCAGAGCGACGCCGCTGCCAGGCTCCGCGTGGGCAACGCCACATTCCATTTCGCCATGCGAGTCGGCTTCGAGTGCAAGCGCCTCGCCGTCCTGTTCATTTTAGAACACCCCCGCTCGTCAATGATGTGGTCTCATCCTCGCATGCTGCTGCTCTCCCGCTCCTCTTGTAAAGACGCCAATGTAGATTTCTGTCAGCACGGTACCAGATGGAGGAAGGCCATTCGATTCCGCGGCTGGTGCACCTGTCCCCCCCCAGCCTCTGTGCAAATACCGCGGCCGGCGTGGGCTGTGCAGTAAGTCTGGCCTGCAGCACATTACACTTGAGGGCGGCGGGCCTGGGGGTAAGCGGTGGACAGCCATCGCGGAACCCTATCCCGCTCCCATCGCTGCTGCTGCTGGTCTCTGGCTCCACCGCTCCGCCGAACGCCGCCTGTCAGTTCGTTTGTCCAGCCTCGCCTCTCGCTAATGTTCTGCTAAGCCGGGATGGCGGCTGCCAGGCTTCCAGCATGGTCTATGGCCTCTTGTCGCGTTGAATGCTCGGCGCCGGGCCTCGACGCTGCCCGACGCCACCAGGCAATTGCCCTCGCTCTCACCAGACCCCCGCTCTGGCAGAAAAAGGTGATCAGGGCTGTGCATCGATTCGTTTTCCAAACAGCTTTGCGCGCCCCACTCGCAAGCCGCCTGCAGATGTGAACGGTCCGTTCCACCGCCATCCTTGCTCAAGTCCTCCTCCTCCTCTCCTCCTCCTTTTCTTTCTATTCCTTTGCGTCCAAAGTGTTGGCCTCTTGTTCCGTTGAATTCTCGGCGCCGGGCCTCGACGCTGCCCGACGCCACCGGGCAATTGCCCTCGCTCTCACCAGACCCCGCTCTGGCAGAAAAAAGGTGATCAGGGCTGTGCATGTATGTATGTATGTATGTATGCATGCATGCATGTATGTATGTATGTATGTAGGTATGTATGTGTGAGTCGTGGTAAGTAGGTATGTATGCATGCATGAATGCATGCATGCATGTATGTATGTTTGCATAGATGTGGACAGTTCTGAGAGCGTGCAGCAGTGCCCCGAAAAGAAAGCGCCGCACCTTCCCCATGCAGAGGCCCCTCCTCCGCTGGCATGCGGGCTCAAGTGCAATCCATGAGTTTAGGCAGTTCGATGTCCTTCGCCGCCTGGCTGGCCCGGTAGGCGGTCCATGGCGCGCCCCGCGCTGCGCAGATCTGGGCGTTTCGCGGGGATTGCCTTCCTTGCACTTGCAAGTCCTTGCTGGTGTACGGTGGGGGCCAAGAGGCGCTGGAGCTGGATTGTCCGGCGCCCGCTGGCTAGTGGCCGCTTTCGGCCGTGCCCCTCGCCCTGGTTTACGGGCTCTGCGTAGGGGCGGGTCTCGCGCAGTTTCGAACGCTTAGCAGCCGTTGGCGGGCTCCGCAACCAGAACATGGGCTCGTCGACGAGGAGGCGCGCGCAGGCAGGCAGCCTTGGTAAGAGAGCGCTTGCAAAACCAGTAGCGAGCTGTTTGTGGTAGCGGCCGCCACGGCCAGGCCTCGTCTGGCGATGCCGGGCCTCGACGCGGGCGGACTCGTGCTCATCGGGTATCGAATCGGAAGCGCACAGACTTTGCATGGGCGTCTGATCATCGTGTTCCAAGCGGTGCCGCCGTTCGGCACGGGAGGTCATTACCACGTCGAGGTCATTGGTCATTGAGGTCATTACCGCGGCGGGGTCCGACATCATGGGGTTTGCGAGGCTGGCAGTGCCGCGTGGGGCGACTCAGCCGCCGCGGGCGCGGACCAGCTCCGGAGTCCTGCCGAGGTCACCGCCGCGGAGGCGTCGACGTGCGGCACGCGTGGTCGCCTCCGTGGCAGCCGATGCGCCTGCGCCCGCGCCGGCAACTGAGGCCGCCGTTCCGGCGACGGGGGGTTTTGCCAGGCTGGCAGCCGCCCTCGGCGGGGGTGCCTTGCAGCCCGAGGCGCCGCCGGCGCCCTCATGCCCGTCGCGGCGCCAGTCGCCCCCCCGGGCGGCGGCGCCCTTGCCAGCGGCCGCCAGCGGCTCTGGTCCAGACGCGGCGCTGGGACCCCTTGGTGGTGCTGGCGGCGCTGCTCCTGGCCGCGCCCCCGCCCCTGTTTGGTTGTGCTAGAGCGCCCGCCGCGGGCCTGGCGGACGTTGGCGTTTTCGCCGCAGTGGCGGCCACGCCAGGCGGCGACGCGAAGTGTCAAAGCATCGTCATTGACCAGCAGGGGGTCCGCTACGTCGACTTCCGCGCGGGGTCTTGAGTCTTGAGGCTCCACGAGCTGCCGTGTGGCGACTGGCTTCTTAAAGGCCGCGAGCCGTGTTGTGGGTGAGGAATTTTGTCCGCCGCAGCGGGGGGCTGTATAGCGAACGCTATATCCGCCGCGACCTTGGCTCGAGGTTGCGCAGTCCTGTGTGCTTGTCGCACGACAGTGGTACACGATCGGATCATTGCATCAGACACAGGCCGCGTGTATCAATGACCCCTCTTTCTATATCATGGCTTGTGTCTTACCTCTCGTTTTGCTTGCCGTCAAGGGAGGAGTTGTGGGAAACATCGTTACGTCGCCGACGTTATCCTCAGAGTAGGGTTCTCATTTTATTACCTCATGGAAAGGCCCGCAACTGTTGCTTTTCACGGTGTATACAACATAATTTAAGCATACATGCATGTAACGCACATACATATACACATACATATATACATACATATCTGTATACGCAGAGGTATGCCCCGTGTATCCTCCCCTTCCACTTCCTCGTTGAAGCGGCGCGCTCATTTTAACATCATCGGCAACTTGGACGGCGGTTATTGTAGTTTGGGCAGGTTTCTGACAATGTCCAGTTTCAGTCCGACTCGGCTCGTCCATTGCTGGTGACCGTACAATGCCATTGCTGGCTGTGTGTGTCTTCGTCCAACTCCTCGTTCTCCTCCGCGGGCTTGTTTTTTTGAAGACACTCACGTTGCGACCTGTCGGGGTCACGGCATGACAATACCTATCTTTCATCACATTTGAATGTGGGGTCGCGCGCCACATGGAAAAACTCCAACATATCCCCCGACCCCACCGGCTCGAACACGTATAGCGTCTGATTTGCTTCCGGCGTCTCAGGCCTCTGGAAGCCGCTCCCTGGCCATGGGACCGTCAAAGTCGTTTCGGGATGGGACAGCCGGACTTCAGGTGTCCCGAGACGCACACAAGAAAAAACGCCATAAACAACATTTGTTGGCCTTCCTGGCGGATGTCTTGGATCCGCGCTGGGCCCCCCCCGGCAGCGCCTCTTGCGCCGCCCCTGGCGCGCTCCGCGCCCCAGGGAGGGGCGTTCCAGGCCAGATCCAAACCACCCGCGTGGAACACAAGAAATTCATGTTTATGGTGTTTTTTTTAAAAAGTTTTTTTCTCCCAGACATGCGACGTCTTGATTTTTTTCAGGGCGGCGTCCCCGGAAGTCCCGACCCTTTCCACGGGGCCAGCTTGTCATCCTGAGTCTTTCTTTGACGGTTCCAGAGCCCAGCGAGCGCCTGGAGAGGCCGAGAACGATGAAAAACCTTCGACCTGATTTTACCACGGCGCGATCATGTTTGGGCCAGAGAGAGAGACGAGAACACATCGGGCTGTTGGAGGCCTGGGTCCGCTTGGATCGACCCGGCGGGCCGCCAGGGGACCCTTTCGGCGTTTCGTCCCGAGGCCCCTCTGCACGCTTCCCGCTGCACTGCAGCCGGCATCTCCTCCTCCACCCCGCAGATGGTTCTCCCGCGCGGGTTCGCGACGGCCAAAGAGATATGTTTTCCGGGTCCAGCGATAACTCGAGTTATCGGGTTTGCCCCCCTTCCCCCTCCCTCCCCAGGATAACCTGACTTTGCCGGCTGTGAAGGTCCGTGGTGGGGGGGCGCGGGCATATGCAGGGCTGCCCACAGCGCGAAGGTTAGGTTATCGGCCGGCCCCCTCCTTCCCCCCCCGAAAACCTGGGTCATCGCCGATTCAAAAAAAACGGTCTCCAAAGACTGACCGATCAGCCTCATATGTCGAACGAACATTACACACCATACACATAGGGAGGTCGGAGGGATGAGGACCGGCTATGGGTATGGGTGAGTGTTGTCCGTTCGTCATCAAAGGCTCTCCTGAGAGCCCTCCAGCTTGGATTGGTGGCCACACGTGAACCTTACCCCCACCCCTCGGATTATCGAGGGGGTGTGGGGGGCTTCACTTCGTTCGGGAGCTCCCGAGCGGCGTGACCCCCCCCCCGAGATATCGTGGGGGATGGGGGTTAGGGTTCTCATGTGGCCACCCATAGGAGCTCGTCTGGAGCAGCTGGGGATACTCGCCTCGGAAAACGCAGAAAACGAGATTGCGAAATCCATACATCAAATAAACGAGACCCGCCCAGGCCTCCAGAGTTAAGGGAGGAAACACCACCCGGAGCGGACAATTGGCGTTGACCAGCGGCCTTTGGCGTTTACTAAGCAGCCCTGCCCTGTTCGATTCCTTCGGTGGGGGCGTTGAGTCAACGGCTTCGCGTGTCGGGGTGGTTATTATGGGGGTGGGTGTTTCGCCCTCTACAGAGAATCCCAAGGAGCTTTCGTGAGGCCCCCGAGAAACCCTCCGAGACGGAGCTTCTGGGCGGCCAGGAGGTTCAACTGAAGGGCATTGATTGCTTATTGTTAAGTCGGGCGTTTCCCTCTACAGGAGAATATTCAAACACAGTCAATACATAGTATGGGGACGATTGTTGGATTACATTTTAAATGATTTGTCGTCCAACATCCGCCTATAGGGGGACATGCCCGACCTAATGCTTACTGTTCTGCCCCTTCTCCTGCCGGCCCTTACCCCGCCTTCTTGACGTTCTTAGGGCTCTAGCTGCGCAGATCACTCCGCTGCCTCCTGCTTCTGAGAGCA